TCATTGAGTTTGGTCTCTCCAAATCTTGGATTACTTTGATTTGGGAGGGGTCTGCTTCTATACCTCGGTTGGTCACAAGGAAGCCCAAGAATTTGCCAGATCCTACTCCAAATGCATACTTGGACGCATTGAGGCGCAACTTGTGTTTTTTCAAGATTTCAAACATCTCGCCTAGGTCCTTGAGATGGTCATTATCATCCTTGCTCTTGACCACCATGTCGTCGATGTAAGCCTTCATTGTTCTGCCTAACAATGGTTCAAACATCTTGGTGACCATCCGTTGGAATGTTGCCCCTGCGTTTTTCAGGCCAAAGGGCATGACCTTGTAACAGTATAGTCCTCTTGGAGTTGTAAAAGATGTGACCTCCTGGTCTGGTTCATGCATGGCGATTTGGTGGTAGCCTCTGTATGCGTCCAGAAAGCTAAGTCGGTTGTGCCCTGCCGTCAGGTCTACCAGTTGATCTATTCGTGGTAGAGGGAAGCTATCTTTTGGGCACACCTTGTTGACTGTTTTGTAGTCGACGCAGACACGCCATTTGCCATTCTTCTTTGGCACTACGACCGTGTTGGAGATCCATTTTGTGTAGTGCACCTCTCTGATTGCTCCTGCCTCCAGCAGGTTACCTACTTCTTCTGCCACTATTTCGACATGGTGAAGTGCCGATCTGCGAGTGCGCTGAATGACTGGTCTGGCGGATGGGTGGACATTGAGTTGGTGACAGATGAAGTTTGGATCAATGCCTGGCATGTCGTAGGGTGTCCAGGCGAACACTTCGATGTTAGAGGTCAAGAATTCCATGACCTCTAATCTTTCGGTGCTGGACAACAACGAACCGCGCAAAAAGAACTTATCCGGGTTCTTTTCATCTATTTTTACCTCTACCAAGTCCTCCACTGCTTTCTGATCCGCCGCTTTGCCGACATCTGCGAATAGCTCATTACTTTCGGGTTCTTCCACCGAATGAACGTATCCTTTGGCAGTGCGGCTGCCATTCACCGTAGCGAAGCATTGCTTTGACATGATCTGATCTCCATAGACTTCTTCAATTATACCAGTGTCGTTGGGGAACTGCATCACTTGGTAATAGAATGACGCCATCGATCGCATGGCATGCAGCCATGTTCTGCCCAAGATGATGTTGTAAGTGGAGGGGACCTTCAATACCCAGAACTCCACTTGTTTTGTCACGCTTCCTGCTCTAACTGGAAGAATTATTTTGCCGACGGGCCATTCTGGCATGGAGTTGAACCCAATTAGGGGAGATACGGCAGGCGCCAAGTCTTTGTCTTGCAGCTTTAATTGTTTAAATGTTTCGTAGTACATGATTTCACACGAACTACGCTGGTCAATCAGAATCCGCTTGACGTCAAAATCCTTGACTCGGAGAGTGACGACCAGGGCATCATTATGGGGGCGGTAAATTCGTTCCAAATCTTTATCCGAAAAGGACATGACGTTTGTTGTCTCTGTCTTCCCCTTCTTGACGGCAGGTTGGGCACTTAGCACTTCTCTAAAGTGCTCAGCCTTTTTGATCGATCCCCTGAGCTCGCATACACGCTCAGGTTCAAAAACTCCATGTATCACATTGATAATGCCTTGAGGCGGGGCGTCGATTGGCATCCCATTGGGGTTATTATTGTCCTGGGGGGCTGGCTGCGTCCCTCCTTCAATGTATTTATCCAAGTGACCTGCCGCCACCAACTCCTCCAGGTGCTGTCTCAATGGTGTGCAATTCTCAGTGCGGTGCCCCTTTTCTTTATGGAAGGTGCACCGCGATCTTTCGTCACTCCAAGACCGGTCTAACTCAAAGGTACCGCTAGATCGACCTATTCAGAATGCATCATGACCGGACTGACTCTGAGACCGGCCTAGCTCCAAATTGCCCGGACCGAAGTAGCTTTACAATTCTTGAGCTCTGCCACGTCCGTTTCTGCTCTGACGATCCACCGTATTAACCTTCGCTGAGGTCTTCTTTTATGGTATTGTGGTCGCCCCAGATTTTGCTTTGGCACGTGCGCCATCCTCTTCTACCCTGATGTGCTGATGCACTCTTTTCATCAGGGCTTCCATGGTGAGGGGTGGCGCCATGGTGATCGAATCCCTTAGTCTGTTCCCAACTGGAAGGCCTCTTTTATATTGTGCAATGACGAGATTGGTGGGGCAGTCCCCAGTCTGATTGAATGTCTCCCAGTAGCGACTGTTGTAGGATCTTAGGGTCTCTTTATCGTCCATGTCGATGGCGAGTAGCTAGTCGATCTCCACCGGGGTTTTAGTGTTTGTTCAGAACCTCGTTACGAATGCTTCCGCCAATTGTGCCCAGGAGGCTATACTGCCTTCTGGAAGTTTCTCGAACCAAGTTAAGCCTAGGTCACCAAGGCTTGATGGGAAGAGTATACACATTAAGGCCTCGTTTCGCCTGTATACAGCCATGACCTGGCTCAAGTGGCTCAAGTGTGAGTAGGGGTCCGTCTTCCCTTCATATGTAGTGAATTTGGGCTGAAGGAAGCCTGTTGGTAGGGGCGCGTTTTCAATCGCCGGAAAAAATGGCGAAGTCTGCAGCCTTGCCAATGCTTTGTCCGTTGGTTCATAGGCAGGGCGCGGTATTGGCATTCCAACCTCGACGCTTCCATGCGTCCGAAGAGCCAACCGCTGTAAGGCGGAAACTCTGTATGGATCCCTTGCCCTGGCATCCTCCTTGCATCGTGCCTTTTCTTCGAGCACGGTTCGTAAGTCGGATGTTCTGGGTAGCTCCGTCTGTCTAGATCTGGTTTGGTGCGAGTGCGAGGGCCAATACGTGCTTCCTTCAGTGTATGATCTCTCAGATCTCGTCCTCTCAGACCTGGAGTGACGAGTTCTGGAAGACCAGGATTGAGTGTCGCTTGTCCTGAGGCTTCTGCTCTCTCCTTCTAAGGGTGTGGCATTCCTACCACGACTTTCTGAGTGGCGAGGGGGCGTCTTGTTTTTGCGCCCCTCTCCTGTCGCCATTTCTTTTTTCTTCATCTGGCGTTTCAAGGCCTCCATGTCCGCCGCCATCTTCCTTATCAATTCATCTTGCTCCTTCACGCGGTCTTCCAGGGCTTGAGGATCAATTCTCCTCATTTGCCTGTCAGGACTTTGCGAACCAGAGTGACAAGGGCTGTTAGTCCGCCTCCCCCTAGCATCCCTCCTGGAGTTATGTCGCTGGGACTCCAAGTCTGCCATGGGAGGGACAGAGGGTAATCCTTCACGCCTTGCGCCTCCATCCGGAGTTAGCCCGTCGACGGCGGACTGCGGTAGTTCTTCAATGTGTGCCATTGTTTCTGAAAAGGAGAAGCTTAATCAAGAGGTTTCGTTCTGTCTGTTTTTCCCACAGACGGCGCCAATTGTACGGGAAAGAAATACACCTTCTCGTATAATCCTGTTTACTAAGTCTGCGCTCCTCCGTACGACGTCGCTTTATCACCTGAAAACACAAACGTGAGCTAGCCGACGGGTGTGTGCCAGAAACCTCTCCGATGCCTAAGTCAGTAAGCTTGACAAATAGACAAAAGCTCTGTGTATTCAGAAAGCAAAGTTGTGTGTTACCTCCCCAAAGGTGATATTTGTGAGCTTTTATAGGTTTCGTGTGACACGATCCTAGTAGGACTTCTACTCCTCCATGTAGAGTCCTCCTAGGATTCATACTCCTGTAGGATAATGCTTATCCTTTAATACCCCCCACTGCTTAAACCAAGTGGGATGGTTTTTACTATGGCCGAACTACCATACGACCGGAATAACATTACCATACTATAAAGGCAGGTATGGCCGATCTGACTACTAGTTCGGCTCTTCCCTTCCTTGCTTCTATCCCGGCTGCAAATGCTAAGACCGAGCTATCCATAGAAGTGTCAAGCCGAACTAACTCAAACTTCCCTGAAGTTCTCTTACTCTGGTTAGAGGAGATGACCGGACTACTCCGAAATATGCCGCAACCGAGCTACCCCCAAGCCAAATCTGATAACCGAACTAACCGTAGTACTCCTTTTGACCGGTGTATCCACTGTCTTTCGTATTTGGACCTATCTCGGCCCAACACCCAACTCGGCCCAATTTATATACATAAATTACCCTCTCAATAATAATTTAAAAAATTGCATTACTTAATCTATTTCTCTACCATTTTATTTATATGTCTACTGTTACTTATTTGTCCAATTAATCTATTTATTTATTCATATCACTACTACCACCAGTCAATGCCAGATGCCACCACTAGCCACTTTTGGAAACTTTTTAGGTGACACTGATGACTGATGGCCTGGTAACAGTGGATAAAATTGGAAAATATTATTTTTCAAAACAAATTTGTCTTTCTCACTGAATAATTTTATTAATCATCTTTTCATAACTAAGGAGTTATTTAGGATGATTTAAATAAATATATTTTTTAATTTTTTAAGAAAAAATATACTAAAAAATAAAGAGATGATATGACTCAAAAAAGATAAAAAAAAAATGTATTAATATCAAAGATGCTAAATAACTCTTAAAACAAAACAATCCTTGGACTTAATGCCATACACCTCCCTACTATTTAATGGATTTCTCAACAAATTTTCCCTATAATTCTTGTTACTATAATCAAAATTTTACCATGAAAGTGAATTGTAAAGTGTAAATTTAAAATTGATACATTGTGAATCGTTTCACAATAAATTTATTTACATATTTTAATTATGGGCAAAACTATAAGGAATCGGGGTGCTACTTTAAGTATCACATAATAATAATTGTTGTGAGATTTGTGAGAATTTATTTTAAAACTTATTTCAATAGTTCAGACTGTTTTTATTATTAAGTTAATTGAGTAGATCATTAATAATAAGTTGATCGCGTAGATCATCAATGAAAAAACAAAAATAGGCTAATTAAATAAAGTGATATTACATTTAATTTCGCTTCTAATGATATGATTTTAAAGAGAATTGATTGATTGATTATTATTCGCTATGTCGGTAGAGGTGCAATTAGGAGATGAAATGAAAGACAGTCGAATCACACAATCACTTTTTATCACAAAACATATATCCTTGTCGAATCACACATTCACTTTTTATCACAATTTGTTGTGAAACAGATAACCTTGTTGAAGCACTTATCAAAGACAGAGACCCCAATTCGAAACAGACTCACTGATTTTTGTGAACAACTTTCAACTCCAACCCAAACCAGCTCATTAGGGTTTGAATCCCCAATTCAACTCGGTAATCTCTCTCTCTCTCTCTCTCTCTCTCTCTCCACATTCGATTTTTAAATTTTGAAAAAATGAGTCAGTAATCTTCTTTGTTGTTGTTATATATGTTGGATTTTGAATGATTTCTTAGTCGTTGCTTGTTTGTTTTGTCAATAGCAGTTTATTTCATCATATCATTGTGTCCTTTTAAAATTGATCAATCTTTTATCTATTTTCATGTGTGTGTTGATTTATTTGTTTATTTATCCCAAATATATATATATATATATATATATATTCTTTTGGGGTTGGGGGTTGTATGGCTGTTGAACTTTGAATCATGGTTTAGATGTTTGATTTGTGTGTTTCCGGTTGCTTTTACTGTGTTTATTGATCTCAATTTCCATTAGCTTTTTGAAGACTTTTCAATAAGTTCCCCTGATAATGGACTGTTTTCAGGGATTTTTTTTTTTTTTTTTGCAAACAAATTTAGAGGAAATTGTCTTTAGGCTGTGTAATGGAAAGGGAATAGGAAATGCAATCCCACTGTTTATTTGGTTATAATGAAAAATACAAGGAAAAATAAAGTGAGGGGAAAATATAATCTCACTTTTTTTCTTTTAGGTTCACCTTAGGCTTTTCTTTTTTTTTTTCTTTCTCCATTTCCCAACTCAACCGAACATAGCTTGGAATTCGAATCATATCAATTCTTTGTCGTTTCCTTTCTATTTCCCTTTGTCTTTCCATTTCTCTCATCAAATCCTCTAATCAAACGCAGCCTTAAGGAACAGTTCTTCAGTTTGCTTCACTTGTTTCTGTGAACTTCACTTATAATATATTAGAATTATCTTTGATGTCTAATTTGGATCCGCTTTTGGTTGATTTGATAGAATATATTCAAACATCAATGTGATGAACTTTCTTAGAATACATGCATAGGCAAACTTCTTTGCTGGGTATTTTGTAACCAAAAATTTGTTAGGGGTTGATAATTTTATTCACCGAGAAGAATATCGGTCTCCATTTATTTATGTAGATTGTTTTGCAATCACGTCTGACTCTGCCACAAAAGCAAAACCAGGAAACAATTCATGTACTTTGAATAATCAAGACATATGATGTGTCTTCTTTGCTAAATCTCTGCCCATATTTCTTTTCCTTATGTTTCTATTTGATAATGTCATTTTTTTCTGGATGAACAATAAGTTGCTGAAATGTGATTTTTTATATTGGAAAAATGCATTCACGGAGAACAAAAGCATCAAGTCATTATGGGTTGAGATGAGGAAGTTGTAGTGATGTAGAACACTGTCGGGAAAGAGGATAGAGAAGAAGGGAGAGAGGAAGTACACAAGGGCCACAACTCTAATCACAACCTCACTCAATATTCTTAATTCAAAGCTGAATGTTATGATGCAAAGCCCTAATCAACTTAGGAAACTAAATCTTAACACTATTTGAAACTTAGTCGTTAATAAATACAACTATAATTAAAAATAAAAAATATAAATATTAAAGGCAATGAAATATATAAAATCAGCAATTTATCCTGGTTCATCAGCTCTGCCTTATCCAGGTATCTTCGATTCATTTCTTTCCAAAATTCTTTCAAGGATTTGGAGTCATCTGAGATGTAAAGGTGAATTGCCATTACCACCTTCAAGAAATTATTGAATAATATTTTAATTGCTCCTAGAACTTTCAATTGGTTTGCACATGTTTATGCATTGTTTTTGAACTCAAAGCATGAAATACTGGTTTTGATTAAAACCAGAAATAATTGTTTGTATGAAATACTGGTTTTGATAATTTTAGGGTTTGGAAGACTGTTAAATCTTCATATCTCATTATTGAACTCTATTTCTTGTGTCATTTCTTGGCCTTTTCGTACATCTACTTTGGTCAATATAATCTGCTTGTTAAAATTACATCTCTGTAAGGTCCTGGTGATCCTTGACCCGAAAGTATACAGATTTAGAGTGCTGTTTGTTTTGCTTGCTACAATGTTGTATTTTATGTTTTCCATTGTTGATAGCTTGTAATTTCTTTGTACAGGTTCTGGGCCTAGTTTGGGAGCATTGATAGCTGGTGGCGCTGCTGCTGCGGCTGCAGCTTATGGGGCCCACCAGCTATCACAGGGTGCCCATAATCTTACCCATGGAGGTTTCTATGGTCGTCAAGGAAAGTTTAAGCGTGGGAAGCATGGAAGGTTCGGAAAGCGTGGGGGAAAGTTCAGAAAATGGAAGTGATTATCACTCACTATTTAGTAGTGCTGTTTAGGCTTGCAGTGACTGACTATTGTCTTTTTTATTTTTAAATTTAATGATTCTGGATACAGTTTGGGAGTTATGACACTAGCATATGTGTATAATTACAAATTTCTTTTAACCCTCATGCATTGGGGAGTATGTGTGGAATCTCGAATCCTCTTTTTCTGCTGAGGAGTTGTGTAAGGGATCAATGATCCTGATGTTGTTGCTTGCTTGATACCTGTGTGTTGGTTCGTGTTTTGGGCCTTGCTACTTAGTGAGTCCGTGGTGATTCCATCGGTTGTATTGGGGTAGTGTTTGTGGGGTGATTGGTTATCAATTGTGGGGGATAGTACTTCCCTTAGACATAGTGTTGTTGTGGTTTGATTTTAGGAGATCCGTTGAGATTCCAAAATTTAGGGGTTTGTGTGGGGAACTCCGTGTGTGGGGTTAGTGGCACATCAGTGGGTGGATTACTGAGTGTGGAGTTTATTGAGTTGATTAGTCAGCTCACTGGTATAGGGTTTTGGGTTGACCTTGGTCACCGTGAAGTTAGTCTCATTCGTTGTAGACTTTGTGTGTTGATTGAGGAAAACCGAAACTAATCATCCGGTTGTGTCATTGAATATGACGGTTATAATAATACAGCAAATTTGTGCATTGAATGATCATTGTAAATGATTGGATTTTTTTTTTATACATTATATATGTATATTGTTTGGGAGGAGATAGGGGATGGACTCCGACGATACAGCACCAAAATGTGTATCTATTGAAAGATTGATATAGCTTATATGCTTGTCTATGGTGAAGTGAAAAATGTTTTATATGGGTTACTATCTCATTTAATTTGTTGGCCAGGTTCTGAGCCAGGTGTATGTTATTAAACTGATTAAGTAAAGGGAGGCCGGCTGAAATTGCAAAACTGTGAATTTCTTATGCCTTTTGTGTTGATAATACTGTTGTTATTTCTATTAACTATCATTATAGAAATGTTTTGTTCCATGTTGGTTGTGACATCACTGTGTGAGTGATGGTTGTTGATGGTGTTGTTTTGGAAAAGAAACGGAAAACAAAATTTTCCTAGTGTTTGGGCCATCTAAATGTGTTGTTGAGAGATTGATTTAATTCAAGGGTTTTGAGGAATTTCAAATGAATGATTTTTGGCAAATAAATGATGGATGACTGTGTTTTAGATAACACCGTGTTGGTGAAAAATGTATACAAAGTTTTTGAGTTTCGCATGGAAAATGCAAAATTTATTTCGCAATGTCAGCATTGAAAATTTGGCTATCTTTGAGAAATGTCTCTTGAGCAAGAAAATGTTTTCTTATTATTTACTCCAAAAGTTGTTTGGGTCGTGTTGTTGCATAGTGACTTAGCTTGAAGCGCTGGTCAGATGTGAGTAAACTGTTTCAGAAGGGTTGATTTTGTTGTGGCTTTTATGCCTACAGTGTTGTCATTTGGAACGTGTTGCTTTGGTTAGTCTCTTCCTTGGTAAGAGTGAATCGAAGGTTTGTAGTGAGAGTAGTTTCTTTCCTAGTACTCGGGTGTTGGTGTGGTGTGATCAGTTGGCCATGTGTTTTGGCGCATCCTTAATTTCGGGGACGAAATTCTTTAAGGGGGGGAGGTTATAGCGATCCCGGTATTCCCTGTTGTTGTATATCTATAATCTGGACTCAGTTCCGTAGATTCGTTGTTGTCTTATCCTCATTTCTATCCCTTACTCTTTGTTTTAGAGTTTTGGGTTGTGTTGGGCAAGTTGGGAATTAGTTGGTTGTGTTTTAAAGCTTTGAAAATTTTGCCCAGGTTTTGGTCTCTCCGCTCGAGCGGCGGTTTTACGCTCGAGCGGGCTTTTGTTGCTGCCTTTTCGCTCGAGCGGCAGTTTGGACGCTCGAGCGTGAATTTCATTCTCTCAGCATTTTGGTCGTCTGCAGAAAATTCTGGGAGAGTGCATCCGGCGCTCGAGCGGAAATTTGGACGCTCGAGCGTGAACCTGTGTCTGACGCTGGAGCGGAGTGTTGTACGCTCCAGCGGACCTGTTATTATATCAGTCCGTGAAATCACTTTTTGATCACTTTTTGATTTCCTTTCTCTCTCTTATTTTTTTTCAAAACTTCCATTGAAGGGCACCTCACTCTAAAACCTAACTTCTCTCTTAGGATTGATCTAGCTAGAGTGCTTTCCTCACCTTGGGCCTTTGTAAGAAATGTGTTGATCGTCGAGGGCTTCGTTGTGATCCAAGAAATTTGGGATTTGGAGCACTTTGATTTCGGGTCGTCTTCTTTATTTGAGTTCTCCATTTGAGGTAGGGATTCTCCTTGTTTCTCTTCAATACTTCGTCTATAGATAGACATGTGGTAATTTTGTATTGCATAAAAATCATATCCATGTTGGATTTGTTTGAAATCATGGGAAGGAACCTAGGGTTGGGTATTTGAAATGGTTATGTTATCATTGAGAGTTGTTTTGGGCTATTTGGAGTGTTAATTAGCATGTGGTTATTGAAAGGGGAGGAAACCCTAATTTCTTTTATTTGATTTAATAAATTAATTGAGGGGTTTTGATCTTTGGGGCAAATACTTAGGTATTTTGAGTCTTAATTGTGGTTATTGTTGTTTGTTGATGTAATTTGGGCCTTTTTGGTCAATGTTGAGAAAGAGGAAGAAAAAACCCTAATTTATTGTTTATGACTTAATTTGCATAATTGGTTCGAAATGGCTTTGAAAAGAATGTAGTGAATTTAAATGAGTTATGGCTTTTGTCCATGGGAATGATTTTGTGAAAACAAAGGAAGTGGAATTCATTTTGTGAAATGGGAAAAGTGTTTTGAAATACGTATGAAAATTGGATTATTGTTTCATGAGTGTTGAACACACACATGTGTGGAATTGTATCTTGAACTACCATGTTAATGTCGTTGTCGGGTTTGTGGTCTCATAGTAATTGAGTCTTTAATAGATGTACTAAATATCTGCATCTAGAGGTTTTGTCCTTGGTCATCGGTGGAGGATGACGTGGTTGTGTTGAATTGCTGGGTATGTAATACACCATTGTTGATTGAACATTATATGTAATGAAATGCTGAATTACATTATATTTGTATACTGGTTTGGGAGAAGAGAGGGGTTGTACTCCAGTGTGTGTGAGAAGATAGGGGATGGACTCCACACACTTATGTGTTCAGCGCTTATAATCAAAGGTATCATACCCTTCCAGCTAGCGCCTGGAGAACTGACGCGCTGATAATCTAAGGTACCATACCCTTCCAGCTAGCGCCTAGTAAACTGGTAGATTGTGGTGAGAAGTGTATCTTTGGCTTACTACGCATATAGCTAGTAGTGCAGTGTTGTTTTGTTATTGTTTCAGTGTATCTGGAAACATTGTGGATTGTATTTGTTACAGTGTTGGAGGGACGAGTTGACTCATTGATTGATTTTATGTATGTAGTTGAGTTGTTATCTTTCTTATAGAGGTGTGCATGGATAATTATGATATAATTGGAATTGCATTGAAATGCCAAATATGTTTTGAAAAGGCACATCTGTTGTATGTGTGGCAAATGGAAGAGTAACGGGCTTAATGAATCTATTTTTCTAAGTAGTTGTTAATGTTATAAAAGATTGGGAACGGGGGTTAATGAAAGGAAAAAAGGAAAACGATTTGCCGGATTTGGACTCTTTGGTTCAGATTAAGAACCATGACACAAATCGAGTTCGAGCTATAGTGACCCCAAATGAACAGAACGGGATTTCCCTCCCGGGGCGTTCGGGGACGTCTACACTATGATTCCACCCTGTTCACATAACACAACTTCAATCTTATTCTTCTCCAAGTCACATAACAACTCTCTCTGCCGGTGAGCAAACATGACAAATTAGCAATGGATTTTCGGCTCGACACATCTTCTTATTTGTTGGCCACGGGGCCTTAGTTATGTTGGCGGAATGCCATTGTTGTAAAGGGTTACACCCTTCTTCTTGTACTTTTAATGATGTAAGCCCAAGGGCAATTTATTAAGTTAGTTCATGTAATGTTTACTTTGCATACGTATGACAGTATCGTTAATCATTTCTACGGATTGAATGTATGAGTTTATTTCCGCATGTTATCTCTGAAATTGGATTAAGTTAAAGAATTTGGTAATGACTCCGAGTAATAAAAAGTGGGGCGTGACACCCGTTGTTTGCCCTCAAAAGCCTTTGTTTGCACAACCTTTGCTCTATTTCCTTCTCCAGATTAACTTTGCCATACTTCACAAGTACTCTGCCCAAAAATCATTGGTGGCTGACAGGCCACCACTAAGGGGTTGTCGTCCAACATTGGGGGCTTGCCAGTCAGTAGCAGTGGCCGGCAGGCCACTGATGAGACACCATTTTTGCTGCAACAAAGAGAGCAAACAGGGCAAAGAGGGGGTATTCTCACAAGTTGTTTGTACTCTGTATCCCTCCTTATCATCAAGACAATCTCAAAAGAGTGATACATTTGGCCCTCAAACCATCAATCAAGTAATTTCCATGCATGATGGCTAAGGGACCAATTTGCACAAATTCAATGAATACAAAACAAGACTCAAATGCCATCACCCTATCATGCATGATCAAGGGCAACGAAGACCTAGGAAAGTGGTACATTTCAGCACTTTTGGGTATGAAATGTCTCATTTTCCTTGTGTTCAAATTAACATCCGATTTGAACACATGCAATGCAACACAAGTGCCACTTTTACTTGCCAATTTTGTTTACACATTTTAGTTACCAAATCATTCTTTAATCAATTTTCCCATTGGTGAGTGCCCTCTAAGATGAAAGAAGTGTCAACCAAGGGATAATGTAAGGCAAGAGAGAGATCATGTCGTTGATAATGAACCCTCAAAGAGGATTAAACCATTAAGCATAACCTAAATCTCAAGCTTAAAGAATCCCAAGCTTGAAACAACCCTCAAAAGCAAATGAAAGAGTGAAGCAAAGAGGGAGGTTGCAGAGTTTATAGTGCTGAAATAGAGTGAAAAACAACACCAAAAGATACTATCAACTTAAACAAGAGGTGTCTAAGACCCTAAAACACTAACTTGTGAAGACTATTACACTACAACCATGCAAAGCAAGACTCAAATGAACTAACCAGCCCAA